TTTTCCATACCTTACCAATTCCTACGGGACATTCTATAGCTGTCATATGCTTAAAAATTCATGGGATATGAAAATAGGTACAAGAGCACTTTTTCTAGACATTTGGCAAAGCAGCAACAATCAATAAGGACACCATTTTCTAGGGGCAGCTGTCTAATATGCAAACAGTGCAACACATGTCACATGCTCAAAAAAATGGTTGCCCAGAAAGAAAACATGGGAGCAAAGACTGAGTGGAAAAGACATGAGGAACGGTTGCTGTGTCAGGGTGTATGTATGTGCATGTCAAAAATATTCGATTGTACAAGATCTTACTCTCTAGAAATTGGTTGCTTGATGTTTTCCTGCTTTTCATTGATAGTTGAAAATCTCTAGTTGTTTTCACTTGTTGCTAGAACATGTTTTTTTGTTTACACTCGTTTGATTTAACTCACAATGGAATCCGTACAAGACCATTCCCTAGAGAGGCATAAGATCATGAAGATACGGTCTTGATGTCGTGTTTTTCTAGAATGCGCTAGGCATTTTCTAGACATCATTTGTTTTCACCTGGCCACAACCATTTGCTGGCATTTACTAGACCAAAGTGAATGCCCTGTTGTTCTAGTTAGAGAATGGTTCATCCAGGTTCTCCTTGAAATGTTAACCGTGATATTCACACCGCTTCGCGGTCGAAGCCACCCGCAAAGAGTAAAGGGAAAACAGACACACACAGACAGACATAGACATCCATCCATGCACACAGACATACATACATGCAAACATACAGCCAGACATGCATGGGAAAAGTGTGTAATTAGCACCCTACCGGCTCGGCAGCAACCTGCGCTTGCGGAGCCGGGAACTAGCAACTTGTGCTCTCGGAGCCGCGAGGAAATGTTAACCGGGCCCAAGCGTGAAGAAGCGTTTCGCTATGGCCCTATCTGTCTGGGTCTATCTTTCTCAGTCTGTCAATCTGTTGGTCTCGAGTCTCGGTCGAGCAGGACACACAGACGAAGACACCCACAATGTCAACAATGCAGCGTCCCCCGGGCTGCACATGCGTCCGCAATGTCAATAATGCGATGTCTCCCGGCTGGCAACGACGGCATCGCCAACGCTTGGTCCAAGCCATACGCGAGCCTCCACAACGCCTCGGCACCTGTGGTGCGGGCGGATTTCATGCATTTTATTTGTTTGACACTCACGTGGGATTTTTTGATTCCACTTGATTTCACTGACAATATAAAGCTGATATTTTTCAATGTAAAACTGATTTGCTTGCTATATGTATTCAAGTCTTTCTCACGCTCATGTTGTTGAAGACTTGATGACTTGTGCTTTCCACAGGCGTGCATGGTTTAGAGGTGTTGAATACTGAGCCGCACACATATGTTGAGTTATGTTGACAGCATGTGGCCGCAACATACTGCAACCCCTGACAAGACGTGCCAGCTGATTTCATTGCTTAGACATCGTCCCACCCCCAGGCCCATGCCTATACCGTCGCCTCCTCCAATCATTGCAGAACAGAGCCACCTGTGACATCCTGTGACCATTTGTGAGGAAACCAGCCTCTTTGCCTGGCAAGGAATGCCGTGCCCATCCCTTCCCTCTTGCCCCCCCAGGTGGGTAATGGAGTCAAGGCCACCTTGTGCGGCCGAGAAGGCTTGCCGATCGTCAATTCCCTCCATCGAGATGTCTCCAAGTGCAAACGCCTTTGCGACACAGGCGGGGCACGGGGCCCGGAGTGCCTTCTTCGGTCTCGCCCGATCGGTCCGCGTGGGCTAATGTCTTTGACGCGCAGTCCTAAGACCAGTCTGGTTGCCTTGATCGAGAGCACCGCCGAAAAGATCACTGGAATACTGGACCATGGAGAGCATGCTCTTCCATCTATTGCACTGGATGAGTAGAGAAGGTTTCAGGTTGACAGGTGATTTGGCGACCGTGTTTCATAGTTTAAAGCTCGCATCAGTAGGTAGTGAAAACATTCAGACCATACAAATACCACCACCACCAGGTGTTTTTTTTCTCTCAGCGTTTGTGTCACCTCCATTTGCGGCCGTTCGACGCAAACCGGCACGGCGGCCGTTGGAGGCCTTTGTGGCGTTGTGGGCCGTAAGCGTGTGATCCTTTTGGCACCAGATGTCTTCCCCGCCAGCAGTAAGGCTGGGTTCTAAGACGGTCAGCGCCCGACATTCGGAGTTGGTCTTTGCGTTGAAGGAGGCGTCCACGAGTGTGATCCTGTTTGTTTAAATTCTGTTTAACATTCCATTTCTGCCGTTGCGAAAGAAGTTCGTCTTGGATTCTCATGAACGTCACTCTCGCCCTTGGTGCAACTTGGGGATGCTTTGTCCCTGGCAGATTAGGTTTCTAGGGGCAGAAACCTGCTCAGTCAGCAGGTCCTGCGGAGCCCTGATATGGACTGCGAGTCTTTGCGATCCTTGAGCACTCTGCCAGAAGAGGACCCGTTTTTGTTCCATCGGTGTGGGTCCTGGCAAGGTGACTGACCCCCAGGTGGCAGGGTGTGTTGCACCAGTTACTCCTGCTATGTGCGGAGTCTGAACGGTCCAAGGATTGTCGGCATCATCAACGTGCTGGTTTACTCTAAATATATGCATGTTTTTTCCTTTGTATTTGTGTGGTGCATGCAGATGTTGGGCAGTTGTTGCCAAAACTGTTAACAAGAGCAAATCAAATATGGGTGTGTATAGGGTGGCGCCTACCCAATGGTCTATTTCCCTTCTTCAGGGGGTCTTTGGGAGGTCTCCCTATTTAGCACCAGGTCACAGCACCCAGGTCACGGGGCATGTAGGAAAGTAAGAAACAGGTGAAAGGGAGTCTTTATGCTTGAGGATGCTCACATATAGCACCCAAAACCAGCTTACCGCCAACGCTTAAACAATGTATGTTGATATGTTGTGCATGTTTAATCCCCCTCCTTCAACGTTCCCGGAGCAAGTAACCTCCATGCACTGGGCCCGGTGATAGGCCACCTACCACACGTCTTCAGGATGCATGGCAGAGCTTGGAGACCTTGGCCAAGACTCCTGGGAAAGGAGGGGTCATAGACCTGGAGATTCCTGGCAAAGATGTCGGGATGGGGCTGGATGGGAGGGGGTACCATATGGTCGTTGAGGCCGAGGGCCTTCATTTCAAGGGGTTCCTACTCATTATACCACGCTGTTCCTTTAAGCCCCGGATGTCTCTTCGGAGGGCTTCTATTCCCAGACCTGGCAAGCGATTTGTACAATTTGTAGCACCTGCTCAAAAAGGTCGTTCCGAAGACGACCCCGAAGATGCACTCCGACAAAGACTCCCGTAGTTCCCACAAGCCCGAGATCCAGTTGATGCTGAGGACATGTGGTTGGATTTGGGTGCAGGTCTCTAGTCGGCCACTCCAAGCAGACAACCACCAGTTTGTATAGAGGAATTGTCTTTCCGGGAGCCATGCCATCCACTTCCATGATTGTTTCAGGGAGTGTATTAATTTTGGTGACCTTTGTTTTTGCACTTGAGAGTGACCATTTCTCGCTCCAAGCCTTGGCTGCTTGGGTTTGATGGCTTCTATATGTTTTGGAAAGCCATATGTGGTCATTTTAAGCCGGGTGGATATTGCTCCCTCATACACGTTTTAACGTACGACTCACATTATACAAATGCAAATGCAGCACATGTATGATCATATGAGCGGCTATAGCGAGCATTGCTACATCAGTGAAGTCTATAGCGGGCTAGGACTTATACGGGGTAGACGGTAGACGGTCCGGAAAAATGTGAAGTCTTTACTTGGGCGACTCTAACATTCCCTAGAGGATCTACGAACTTTCCAGATCTGGGATCTGGTAGAGATCGCTCAGAAGTCTGGCGTTACTTTTCGGAGTTATGCGGCTTCTTGTTATCCAAGAATATAGTCTCAAGAGCCTGGCTCCAAAGTCTCAAGCGCCTGTCTCTGATTGGTCACCGCTTTTGGGGGGTCCCAGTCATCATCCTCCTCTTCCCAAGGCCCGGGATGTTCGTCTTCGTGCCTCACGGCTGGTGGCACGCCGTTCGTCCCATCGATGACTTTACCTTTATCACTGGACCGTCGCAGCTCTCCAATCTGGGCGTCTCCTCCGGATGACGCCGCGCTCCGTCCGCCCCGCGGGAGCGGCGTCGCTCCGTCCGCCGGTGGACGCCTCAGGCCGTGCCGGAAAAAGGGCGGTCGCGCGCCGAGCGGTGGCGGTGGTTGGCAAGTCGTAGTTGGTCCTTCATGTGACTGAACTCAGAGACTTAAGAGACACCGAAAAGAGAAAACAAACTAAACAAATTATACTACTCCGATACTCTATATAATCCGATGGGTGCGGTGCATCCTGACTCAAAGTCGAAACACACCCCTTGGGGATTCCTAGATGTGTTAAGGTCATGTTGAGGAGTTGGGAGTTGGATCGACAGCCCAGACACTTCATGGAGAAGGACTTATTTGGTTGGCTCGTCATTGATCATCTTGATGTGTCACTGGCCCTTAGCCATGGCACATTCTTTGATGTGGAGTAGCCTTAGAAGCACCCTAGAATTTCCTAGAAGTCCAAAGACTATTTGTTGACCGACTGAAATTTCAGGATGTTCCCTGAAATCAGGTCCCCTATACTAAAGAAATCTAAAGAACATATTACTTTTGTAGTCTGTGACTCCCCAGATAAAACAGCTACAGTATATGTTATATAATTCATCTTTTGGTAAGGCCTTTGTCGGGACCTGCTTTGGTCTAAAAAACCGCTGGCGGCTTTAGGCCGCTCCAGGCCTTGGCGAGGCATTTGGTCAAGGGCCCCACTGCTTTGGTGGCAAAAAACGCCCCATGGAGGCTCAAGACTTGGCCAAATTCATACGACTTGGTCACTGTTTATCATCGCCGGACCATCAGAGATGGCCTAAGTGGTTTTCTTAAGTAATTATTTGCTCCCAGTTCCACACAGTCACTTCATTGCCCCCCTGCAGACTGACTTTGGAATTTTGTACCCCGGCTTGTCCGGTGCAAGGAGTGCTCTAGCATCTTCGATGAGCTTAACACGAGCGCTCTGCCATTGACTGCACTGATCTTCCCTGACCGCAAGAGTTGCTTGGTTCTCACCGGTTTCATCGAATTTGCATCGATGAACCAGTTGCAGCTTCACAGACGATCTCAGGATCGTCGTCATGAGGGACAAGCTCGTCCTGTACTTTGGACGAGCTCCCCAGAATCAACCGGCCTTGCCAGAATGATTCCATGGATTTCCATGGGTATATCTCCATCGGTTTGTGGGTGATGTGATCGACCAAAAGCAGATTTGCATCCACTCAACATCCATGAAACTGCTCGGGGCGACTCGCAGTGGTTGCTTCTGAGACTCCATTAGACCCGGTTGTTTCTGCCAAGGGACCTCCATGAAACTCCCGAATGAAACACCACAGCCCATTGGAGAAGGGTATTCACTGTCCAGTTTGGCGACGAAGTTGGGACCTATGCTCTTATGCATATCTCAAGGATGATTTCCAAACTCCTCATACTACATCATACTACAAAGTCAGAAGTGTAGCATGCGCTAGACCAGTGAGCCCAGATGTGTGTTTTACATTTTATGTCGCGACTCGGCCACTGCTTCGTGCCTTTACATTCCCACCCAGTACATGTCACTGTCTTGCGCATCCTTTCACCCACTGGCCACACGTTGGTCTACCGTTCCGGCGTGCCGCCGGATGCGATCTCAGTCGGGCAAGCGCCTTTGTTCTTCGTGGTGACCAACATGTTTCGCGGATGCGGGCGTGAGGACTGCCCGTCTCTCGTTCGAACAGCGCAGAAGTCGATCGGTCGAGGCGGGGACCAGAAGAAAGTGGACTGTTTTCTGAAAGGCCGCCGAACAAAGAGTGGTACAGGTGGGGGTGACTGGTGGGGGACAAGATTAGATTGTGTGTTGGACTGTGTATGACTGTGTTGGACCTTGGCAGCCCTTGTAACAAAATCCTGGCACTCTTTTTGCATGTCTTGAGCTTACCCTTCTGATCCACGCAGTCCTTTTGGGTCGAGACTGGGGGCCTGTCGGGACGCGCGGCTCGCGCGGCTGGCGGCCACCATGAGCTACTACAATTTGCCACCCACGAAGTTCGCCAACGAGTACAACGATTTCGAGAAGTCCCTCCGGGCACTTCCCGCAGTTTGGCTGATTCACGCAGGGTTGGGGAGTCTCCAAACCAAGACCTGGCAGTTGGGGGGGTGCTCAAGTCTATCAAATCAATCCCGGACACTCCATGGGACAGGCATATTTACCTACATTGGGGTGGTTTCAGGATGTTTCAGGGGTCAATGTAAATATGCTATACCTGGTTCTTCAAAGTGACCTTTTGATAACCTGGTTTGAGGTCACTTAAGCATCCTAAGGGTCACTTAGGAACTGTCAAAAGGTCACTTTGAAGAAGCTGGTACAGATACATGGAGTGTGGGGGCATGGGACTGGCAACAGTTCTATAGTTTGTTTTTTTGATGATTATTATGATTATTATGTATTCTAGTTTGTGTCTCAAGTCTGTGTTTTTTAATCTTGTTTTGAATATTTGCCGGAATCATGAGTCATGGCGGGTGTTGGCTTTTGTTCTTTAACTCTCCACGATATGGAATGCTATGCCCAAGCATTTCATGGTCCAGACACTCCTATGAGACCAGCATGGCGTTTGCCTACATTCGTTCATCCCCCTTTTCCCCACGTACAGTGGTTTCAGAGTAGACATCACTTTCATGCCCCCCCACGTTCGGTGCTTTAGTAGTGGAGCCCCATCTAAATGGCCCGATCGATCCGCTGAAGCCGCTGATCGTCATGGCGGTCGTGCTGATCGGTCTCAAGGCAGATGGGGCGATCAAGGGGTTGGACCTGCTCGAAACGATCACCCGCAATACGGCGCAGAACCCCAAGGCCGGGCATTTCGGCCAATGCGGGCAGAGGCAGTTGGATCAAACCAGCTGGAGGTACTCCTACTGTAGATGTATGTAGCGGGGTGGAGGGGGTCGCTCGGTATTCGCCAAATGTGTGAATGTGTGTGTGTGTGTTGCATGGTATTTGATGGAATCCCTTCGAGAGAGACCTTTGTGGCAGGGACAGGCATGCCATGGCGTGCCTTTCCGCCGCATCCGAAGATGATTTGGATGAACATTGGACCTGGATGAGCACAGGTTCCTTTACTCAGTCCTTCACCGTTTTCAGTGGAGCCGCAACGGTACGCGATCGCCCAGGAGGAGAAGTATCGGAAGGTCAGGACGACCAACGAGAAGTTGGCGCCGTTCTTCTCCATGCCGGGCGACTCGCCTCGGTCTCGGACCTACCGCTCCGTTCGGTGTGAACCATCGTGCGGTAGACGTCGGACGGACGGTCGGAGGGTTGGGGTTGACATGAAGTGAGCATGGTTCATGAAAGAGGGATCCCAAAGCGGCATGTTTGTTGTATGGAACTTGTCCTTTTGGGTGAACTGGTCGACACGAGACTTCAAAGGGTTTGTGAGATATTGATATTGATATCATATACAATGCCACCGGTGCTTGGCCTGGTTTCAGGCATGGTCACTTGAGCCTCAGATGAAAGCGATATGTCGCACAAAACCACCACCACCACCACCACCACCACCACCAAGGAAGCATTGCCGTCATGAAGAACATGGGCTGGGAGCAAGACGGTGACTGGGTGGGTTTGGCTGGTGGTGTCAATTTCTTTCGCTGCAAATTTCACCCTGTTCGATAGTTATTGACTGTGGATAGCATCGTTACAACAATGCTCATGTCCTGACTCACATACCTTCTTTAATGTCGACGTCGGATTAATCACCGGGCCCCCCCTCCCTAGAAGGTCAACAAGGTCAACAAGGTCTGAGATTGGAGGTTTTGGAGATCACATCCCCCTAATAGTGGGGATGACCTGATGATGAAAGGGAATTAGTATTTGGAAGAATTGAAATGAAAGGGAATTAGTATTTGGAAGGGTTGGGATGAAAGGGAATTAGTATTTGGAAGAATAGTAAAAAAATCAATACATTCAAATAACTATATTTTTCCTGGTGGGAGACGGGGTAGACTAATAGGGGGGGGTTTCAGCCAAGCAAAATTTTTATTAGAGGGTGGTGACTGTGGAAATTCTAGTTCAAATTAGTTTATTATTGGGGCCTGAACGCTGGGTAGACTAATAGGGGGGGTTGGCTAATCCTATGTTGACATTAGACGTTGTTCAGTGGATATCCCGGCGCTGCATGTTTACCAATTTTAAACGGCATGAGCGACCACTTGCTCGGAGGTGAATTTATGGTGTTGCCCAAGTCCGTGACCTTGGATTTCCCGCAGCACTTGGCACCCCGGAATGAACGGCGTGGAACTTTCACGACTCGCTTGCTTGGCCCACCGAATCAGGGGGGACAAGGTGGTAAATGATTGATCTTATCTCTACACCTCCAAGTTGCCTCCAAGTACTTCCTCAGAAGGTGTTTGGGGTGGGTTTGGAGGGTCCAAATACTTTGTGAGGAGGTACTTGGAGCCCTCGGGTATGGAAATGTTGGGAGGGGAAGGAGGCTCCAGCTACAGCAAATCATCTGAAAGTGGCAATTCTTTCGAGTGCTGTGCTTTGAGCCGGGCGAAGGCTTTGTCGTTCAAGGCTGGGCCGGCTGGGCACAAGTCCTAAACAGGCAATCTTGCAGTAATGTAAACATGCAATTGAGTAGACTGTTTACTTTTAAAAATAACTGCATATGAAGAGGTGTTGCAAACCAAATGGGTGGTTGTGTTCATCAACAGCCTACATTGTACAATATTTAAATGTCATATTATGATTATTGTTATACTATTGTTATTTTTTTGTTCGCAATCCTTCAAAGACGTGAACTTGCTAACTTGCCTTGCTTGACCACGCTGGTGTGTTTGTGAATCAACACTATGTGTGGTCCTTTTTGGAGGGATCTGGTTCAGAGTGATCGCACCAATAGACCATTTAAGCTAGTTAAACAACCTTAATATATATATATATAGTGTAATTATATACAAATAGAGCAGTCTTTTCTGAACTCCCAGTGCACTTGCAATGGCAGCTCCACTATATGTGTTGAAGTTGCGTCATGTTTTGGGAAGATCAAGACGTGGGGCTTTCCTGAGGTGAAGATCTTAGAGGCCAAGAGCCACTTTGGGAAGCTTCAGGAGCAGGACACCCGTACCGGATGGGTTTGTGAGGCCTCAGGGGACCAGCGTTGGTGTGCTTGAGCGCAACTGGCATGTGTCACAGTGCCCTTACAAGCAAAGTGAGAGAGCTGTGTATGACACCAGAATTTGATCAAAGGACACAGAAGCTTCATGGTTCTTGGTGAAGGTGTTCTTGCTTGAGGTGCCCAGAGGTTTGTCCCTTTTTGGGGCCTAATGGGGGATGGTGGTGCAAGGGAGACCGACCGCCGGTGTGGCGTCGGAACGCCTGGCCGACCGGTTCAAAGAAATTAGACCAGTCAGTCTACCCAGAGGCAAGATGACCCAGGGTCTGATTGAACCTCCACGATGGGGCCGTGGGCACAGGAGAAGCGTGTGGCCAAGTTGGCACAGGCGAAACCGCGAAACCGCGCGGTCCTGGAGAGTGATGAGAGTGCTTTGCGCTTACGTTGGATGCACGTGTCACTATGTGACATCATGTGACATCCAGTACGGCGGCGGAGTAAGGGGGTTCAAAGGAAGCATAGGTATGGAAAAATACATACCAAAAGAATACATTTCTCCCAGTGGAGCTTTCTTTTCGGGCTTTTCTGGCACTTTTGCGTATGAATTCGCTCCTTCTTCGTGGAAGAAGAGGGGCTTGGGCTTCGCCGACGAAATGAGGACAACACCATAAAAGGTTATTGATAATTATCACACACATGTTGGCTTGTATCATTGTTTGCATTGTTTATCAAAAGTAATTTAACAATAAGTTCATATTATGGTTGTAAGTTACACAGTACACAAAAGATTAGCAATGAAATGAAAGAGCAGAAGAGAGCTTTAAAGGATCTTATGGAGGCAGTTACGGAGGTATATTTCAATCAGAGGGGCGAGAGGACGTGTTCAACAACTTGGGGTGGATCACTGAAGGTGGGACAGTTGTGCACAATTTATTAGAAGCACGAAGATTTTGATGCAGTGCATGCCCACTGACAAGTAAGCCATGACATTCATAGCAAAGGCGTGCCAAGACCCTTAGTGCCCCTACTACTCCCAACGACCTGCACAATCCTACGATCTTTAAGCCAAGATATATAGCTAATTACTGGCAGTAAAACCATCAATCTATTCTATTCACTCATGCTCTTACATGAACACCTACCCAGAACACGGTTTGTTTGGGCCTTCATGGCCGCGTCGACGGACCCCGTTGACCAGGACCCCAACAAGGCCACGACCTTGAAGCAGCTGGAGCTGGACCGACGTGAACGCCAAGCCGCCGACGCCTTGACCGAGAAGGCGCCGGCGCAGGTGCCAAGCACGGCGGAGCTCACCGAGGAGGAGCAAATCGACGCTCGGTGAAGGTGTTTTTGAAATCAATCTACTTTGATCTCACTAGGGTTGCCCTATGTTTGTTGCCTTTTGGTGGAGAAAAAACGTTCCCAAAATGAAAGGCAGATTTTCCCTTTCAGCGGCAGTTCTTGCTCTTTGAGAGTTGGCTGCTCAAGATGGCAGCTGAAAGGAACACCAAAACAAGCGCCCAAGTGAAAGGATCGGGTCCACTTTTGCAGAATCTAAAGAGGAATCCGTCTATCTATGCATCGGATGCACATGTTATATAAA